CCTCCTGTTATTTTGATGTTTTTCTTTAATTATTCGCTATACATTATGTTTTCCTTTTGTGGAATTATCTGCGCTTGATAATCAAAGGCATGAGTGGTCTCGAGAAAAAACTTCTACGTTTATTAACGCGATTTGGGAAATTTGATTTCCTTGTTCAGGGTTTAACGCGTTATTTTTTGCACGAAGCAAAGTTGGAACGAAATACGCATTAAAAGCTGAAAATTTCTTCAACATTAGCAATTTCGGATGTTTTTCTTTAACTATTGGCTTTCAATTTTTTTCCTTTTGTGGAATTATTTGCGCTTGCATATCAAAGATGTGTGTAGAATCGAGACAAAAACTTCTGTGTTAAGTACGGGATTTCGAAAATTTGATTTTCTTCTTCAGAGCTTAACCACTTCTTTTCACGAAGCAAAGTTGGAACGAAACACGCATTAAACGCTGAAGAGGGATATTAATTTTTCGAAACCCCGGTAATCAACAACGGAGGTTTTTTTCTGAAGACCACAACAGACCGATGCCCAATACTTTGAACTGTTCTAAAATTTCTTCAACTTTTGCGACTTCCTCCTGTTATTTTGATGTTTTTCTTTAATTATTCTCTATACATCATGTTTTCCTTTTGTGGAATTATCTGCGCTTGATAATCAAAGGCATGAGTGGTCTCGAGCAAAAACTTCTGCGTTTATTAACGCGATTTGGGAAATTTGATTTCCTTGTTCAGGGTTTAACGCGTTATTTTTTGCACGAAGCAAAGTTGTAACGAAACACGCATTAAACGCTGAAGAGGGATATTAATTTTTTGAAACCCCGGTAATCAACAACGGAAGTTTTTTTCTGAAGATCACAACAGACCGCTGCTCAATACTTTTCTCTGTTTTTTCTAAAATTTCTTCAACATTAATAATTTCGGATGTTTTTCTTTAACTATTGGCTTTCAATTTTTTTCCTTTTGTGGAATTATTTACGCTTGATAATGAAAGACGTGCGTGGAATCGAGAAAAAATACTTCTATCGATTACGGCGATTTCCCAACATTAATTTCCTTCTTCAGGTTTTAACGCGTGCTTTACTCCCCGAAGCAAAGCTGGAAAGAAACAGCACGCATTAAGCGCTGAAGAATGAAAAACATTTTCCCAAAATCACGGTGTTCAACTCGAAAGTTTGTTTTTCTGAAAACCACAACAGATTCGCGATATTCTCCAATGTTCACAATTTCTGAACATTTCGGCCAAGACGACCATACGGAAGTTGAAGAAATTGTTTAAAAAACCTAAAAAATCTCCGAGTTAATCGAGCAAAAAGGCAAATCTCCAGGAGAATTGGAAAAGAGTGAATGAAGAATGGAAACTAGCAGAATGCAGACAACGAGAAGAGCTTCAAGCATAAGAATATGAAGACAATGTTTGAGCACGAGTGCCTACATATACAGGGTGCGGGTTTTACGTACAAAACGAGCACCGGAAGATCAAATAAAAAAAGTCGCTCCTAAAAGTACAAATGATTCTAAACAAACCACCCTGTAGAATGTGCATGTGTCATCCATACAATGGCCACTTCCACATACAGTATTGAACCCACTTTGTAAACTTAGACAGGTGGGAGTAGTTTACACTGACTACCTGTGTGTGTTTGTATGTGCGACTAATCAAACGAAATTGCGCCGTCCTTTTTCCACTCATCAATTTAGGCCTTTCCACTGAACCGTACCGCTACTAAATTGCATTTGGCAATTTCACGTTGATGTGTTAAATCGCTTCTACCTGGTGGCGTCTCGTGACAATTTCGGAAATTTTGTGATTATCAATTTTTTTTGGGACTTTTTTTTCAACTTCGTTCAACCATGGGATCGGGTACCAAAGCAATCAGGGCGCATCTAAACAACAACAGCTACCATTTTCAGGTAGGTTCAGTGCTAAAAAGCAACATTTTCCTCAGCTCTTCTATTTTTAAATTAGGACTCATTAACCAAACGAGGAACGGTGCCTATTCATTTGCGTCCAATTAGGGTTTCGAGCGCTTCCTTTGCATTATGAATATCAATTAATGCAACGATTTGGCCACTCACGGTCCGGTTGTTACGGTATTCAGAAAATTTTCGCTATTTGCAATCGGCATAAATTAACAATTCAGAAAAACCATAATCAACGATAGTAACCGATTTCATTATCGCGTGGACTGGCGGGGGTTTCAAGGATTGTTTGTTGTCGATGGCACCGCCGTTTTTTAAGCAGGCACAACTTCTACAGAGTGTCTCACCAGAAATATTATCTACAGTGTTTGTACATAAGTTGGAGCTTCAGATATACATAAATATTCTTCAGGTGTACATGAGGTTTCTCCACAACAAGGCACAATTTTTTTGAACACCCAGTCTAATGCGTTTTTTCCTTGATCTTCAGGAACAGATCAGAAAGCGGAAAGAAGAAGAGGAACGGATAGCCGCTCAAAATGAGTTCCTCAATCGATCGTTGCGTGGCTCCAGAAAGCTGCAAGCGTTGGAGAACAGACCGCAAGGGACCATCAACGATGCCTACGAAGACGAGCTGCTCGAACCGGCACGCTCTGAAAGTCCGATGGAAGAAAAAGAGCGCGTACATATCGCTTATGGTAAGCGTTTTCCCCGAAAATCGGTGCGGTTTGGAACGGAATTTTGAACCACTTGCAGCCTATGGAGAGCTGGTGGCTGCTGTCCAGCGACTGCAAGTGCAGCTGAAGAAAACTTCGCCCGGATCGGGAATATCCGGATTGGAGGGCCGCATCGCTGCAGTGCAATCGTTGCTGCTTTCGCCTCAATTCGGGCGGGCGCTAGCCATTCACAATAAAATTCAAACCGTACGGCAAAAAGTCAGCGCCAGGCCTCAGCCCTCAGCGCAGAACGCCCTCAGGGACGCCTTGGATGCTGTGGCTTCTTCGCAAAGTGCTTACGCTGTGGAATTGGCCACCATTTTAACAGGTATTTTCGATTAAAAGTTCAACGTCAAAGCACCGGAATGTTAACTAAAACCAATTGTAGATAAGTTCTATATTGCTGAGGCGGATTCATTTTTTACAAACTTCTTTTTGGGTATTTCGCCTCAAAAATTTTTGTCTTTAAAGACAGAATTTCCTCACGTCTTTTATTACAGATTGATAAATAGTGCTCCTATTTCGCGATAAAAACAAATTATTTATCAAAAAGTAATCAAGAACTATCACCTAGAGGGTATCCTGCGACACACTTAGGCTCAAGCTGTAAGAGAAAATTCCAATTAG